ATATTTGAGAAATTTTCAATAACTTTGTATTCATTATAAATTCACAAATTTCAAATTATATTTTTTTTTTCAAAAATCAACACTTGTAGTTAATTTTCTCAAGAAGTAAAAAAGCATTATGATCATGAAAGATGTCAAAATGTAGCCCTGATTAGAATTCTGAACAGGTTGACCAAATTCAGGTAACCTGACAAGTTAACCTGAATTTATCAGGTCAGGTTTAGCAATTGCAATTCAGCATCAGTTCAGATTGTAACATCAATATAATTTGAATGATCTGTTGACCTGAAAATATGATTTTATATAAGAATTTTTCTAACTATCACCGGGGGTGATGATCACTGGTGACTGAAATTATGACGATCGACCAGCATTAAAAAAATATAGTGCCGGTAAAAATTGATAATTCCGGCCAATGGTGATAATCGCCCCTGGTGATTTGAAGTAAAAATCTTTATATAATATAAGTGATGGTATTATAATTCACTTTTTATATTGATTTTATATAATAAAAGTGAATTGCGATATTGGATTCACTTTTTTATATTGATTTTATATAATAAAAGTGAATTGTGGTATCGGAATTCACTTTTTTATATCGATTTTATATAATAAAAGTGAGTTGCGATATTGGGATTCACTTTTTTATATTGATTTTATATAATAAAAGTGAGTTGCGATACTGGAATTCACTTTTTTATATTGATTATATATATAAAAAGTGAATTGTGGCATCAGAATTCACTTTTTTATATTCTTTTTTATATTGATTATGTATATATAAAGTGAATTGCAGCATCAGAATTCACTTTTTTATATTGATTATATATAAAAAAAGTGAATTGCGGCATCAGAATTCACTTTTTTATATTGATTATATATAAAAAAAGTGAATTGCGGCATCAGAATTCACTTTTTTATATTGATTTTATATATAAAAAGTGAATTGCGGTATCAGAATTCACTTTTTTGTATTGATTTTATATATAAAAAGTGAATTGTGGTATCTAAAAAATTAGTTGCAGTATTGTGATTCATCTTTTTATACAATTTTAATATAAAAAGTGAATCGAAATATTTTCAAAAAAATGATTTGCACCATTTTTTTTTTGATATTTTAATAAAAATCCTGAAAATTTTCAGGTTTCAGTTCAGGTCAGGTCAAACAGATAACCTGATATAACCTGACCTGATTTGACCTGAAAAAAAATTTCAGGTCATGGTTTATCAATTAACCTAACCTGATCCGATCCATTTGGAACTCTAGCCCTGATATTCAAGTTTATTTTGCATTTTAAATGATAAAAATTGGATTTAATTTGAGCGAACTACATGCATTTTTGTAATTTGAATAATTTTTTAGCTTTTTTACTATATACCAAAATTGAGGAATTTTGAAGAGTAAATTTCTCATCATTTTACCATAAATGTTTCTATACTGTTGATTTTTTGGTATCAACTTTTTTATATTATTCTTAATAATATTTGAATGTTTTTAATTTAAATTCAATATTTAAATGCTCTGTAATCTTAGTAATTTGTTTTTTTATTATATTTTTCTGTTCAAAGTAAATTTACAGTGAAATTTTTCAAAAAAATAATGAAGCAATTATAACTTTAAAAAATATCATAATTAGAGGTCAGGTCAGGTAAATTGATAAACCTGACCTGAAATTTTTTTTCAGGTCAGGTCAGGTCAGGTCATATCAGGTTATCTGTTTGACCTGACCTGAACTGAAACCTGAAAATTTTCAGGATTTATATTAAAAATATCAAAAAAAATGGTGCAAAACATTTTTTTTGAAATATTGCGATTCAGTTTTTTATATTAAAATCGTATAAAAAGGTGAATCGCAATACCGCAACTAACTTTTTAAATATAAAATCGATATAAAAAAGTGAATTCCGATACCGCAATTCACTTTTTATATATAAAATCGATATAAAAAAGTGAATTCCGATACCGCAATTCACTTTTTATATATAAAATCGATATAAAAAAGTGAATTCCGATAC